CTCCATTATGCGTGGCCTGCCACGTACTTGGCCATTTCTTTTTTAGTTTGGAGATGGCGTTCTTCTCTCGGTAGAGAGTATTAGTGTTCTGTAATAGCGACAGTATGCGAGCGAGAGGTGAATAGAGGCGACGCTATTTTGAATCCAATTTCTTAACCACACGGGTAGTACATAAATTATATTACATAAAAATATACTTACGACTTAAATATATTACATGACTTATTTCGTGAATAGTAACATTATTATTAAATATTGTTTAAAACTCTACAAATTGACATTTGATATTGTACATAGGTATGTACTGATTACTATAGTCAAATTATAGAAACAGTGGTCACGGTTTTATCCTAGCCCCACTACGCTTTTCACATATTTAGAAAGAAAGAGAGTAAAAAGAAGGAGAGAGGGTCTTCACTTTTTATTAACGCTTGATTTTTACTACCCATCTATTTATCTTTACATTACCGTGCACTATACGTGAAAAGATTCTTAACTTTAATTTTATTTTCTCACTGTTCATTTGTAAAACCGTGCTGTAGTAAAACATGTAAAATAGAATAATATGCATCGAAAACTTTAAGTGACAGAAGAGAGAAAACAAAATGCACACTTTGTGTGGACCATTTTGTTTTAAACTACACAATAAAAACTAAAAATGTTTAGCTCGAAGCTTTTATACATCTCGTAAAGTTTCTAAGATAATCATTTAAAAACAATTTATATACACAAAAAAATCGTGCACTTATCCGATCACTTCATTCCGATGATTAGCCTGGATAGACTAACAGACAAAAATCTTAAAAATGGTAAATCATCTTAACAGCGTGCAAATAATCCCATCAGCTATTAAGCTGATGAGATTATTTGCAGTTATTTTCATCATCATAATCATCATCATCATTACAGCCCTTCACAAGTCCACTGCTGAACATAGGCCTCCCCCAAGGAATTCCACAAAGTACGGTTTTGAGTCACCCGCATCCATCGACTTTCTGCATGTTTTACCAGGTTATCACTAAATCTAAGAGGGTTCGCCACACTACGCCTACCGGTACGAGGCTGCCACTCGAGAACCTTTTTTTCTCATCGGTTGTCGTTCTTCGAGCTATATGGCCGGCGGATATCCTCATTCCTAAGATTATCACGCAGAGAAACCCCAAACATAGCCTCTCCATAGCTCGCTGAACAATCTTGAGCGTCCTCATACGGCCCTCTTCATAGCTCACTGAACAATCTTGAGCGTCCTCATACGGCCCTCTCCATAGCTCGCTGAACAATCTTGAGCGTCCTCATACGGCCAGCAGTGAAGGACCACGTCTCAGATCCATAAGTCATCACTGGTAACAGACACTGGTTGTACAATCTAATTTTCTGACTTTGAGGTATACCTGACGAGAAGATGTGTCGTAATTTACCGAACGCTCCCCAGCGAGTTGAGTCCATCGATTGACCTCTCATTGTGACATAGACATTAAACATGATTTTTGTTTTCTCCGTGTTAATCTTAAGACCTATCCGTTGGAGATACTATTAAGGATATTGAGCATAGTGATTCTGCCATAAGGACTATATCGTCGGCAAATCGAAGCTGAGTGATGTAATCACCATTGATGTTAATACCGTATCCTTTCCAGTCTAGTTACTTGAAAACGTCTTCCGATGCAGCGGTGTAGAGTTTCGGGGATATAACGTCACCCTGTCTTACACCTCTCTACAGTTGGATAAGTTTCGTACTCTGGTTCTGTACTCGGATAGCCATCGTACTAGCCCTACTTTACAAACAATTCAGCACTTCGATATGCCGACAATCAACTTGGCACCGCTGAAGAGACTGCAGCACCGCCCGAATTTCGACGGATTCAAAGGCTTTTTCATAGTCTGCATACGTAAGACAAAGTGGCAGATTGTACTCTTCGGACTTCTGTACAATCTGCCGATGAGTATGTATGTGGTCCATGGTACTGAAGCCTTTTCGGAAACCGGCTTGTTCGGGAGGCTGGAAGTCTTCGAGTCTGCGTGCGGGACTATTCGTAATGACTCTCGAAAACATCACGTAGACGCGGCTCAGAAGGGAAATCAGTCTGTAGTTCTTCAAGAGAGCGTTGTTGCCTTTCTTGAAGAAAAAGACAGAAGAGAATAAGAGTAGTGCCACCATGGACGCAGAGATTTGTTAACTCCACAGTCGTTTTTAAGGTCGGAATTGAAGAGCTTCTGAAGGACTTTAAGTACCGGTTTTCCACCCGCTTCCAGAAGCTGCACTGTAATTTCATCCTCACCTGGGGCCTTGTCATTTTCACGGTGATTGAGAGTCATTCTAATCTCGCTCAGACTGAAGTCCAGGATATCATCGGAATAGTGTTGGATAAGACTTGCTCTTGGATCGTTACTCACACTTGCTCTTACTCACATTGCTCACGCACACTCGCACTTTAGAACCTCTCAAACTCACTCAAAATCTCAGGTGTCCCGGAAACGTTGCTGCCACACTCGGTCTTGAGCTTTGACAGTTGGCTCTTTCTGGCAGACAGATATCTGGCAAAAACTTTGGAGCCCTGGTTCCGCTCGATTGCTTTTTTAATACGAGTAGTTAAAGTTGCGTAAGTCCCGTCGCATGCATTTGGAAATCTATCTGTTCAGTAGCCTGTATGCTGTCAAATCTATTAAAGAGTGCGATTTCAAGTCTACGTCTTCGTTTTATTGAGATTAAGAGTGTTCTTCTGCGGTGGGTATTGCAGAACTAATCTCCGACCGCATGGACAGTTTCCACGAGCTTGTTATTTATATCGTCCATTGCAGTCTTCTAGGTATTGAAAACGGTTTTGTAACTCGAGCTGAAAGGTATCGGGACTTGCAGTATACTATCACGGAAAAACACGGAAATTCACTACACAAAGAAAAGCGCTTTTCCTTATGAAGAAGACGCGCGGGGGGGCTAAAGCCCCGACAATCTTTGATATTTTAGGGTTAGTTATCAAGCCTTAAAAAGGCATGCACGACAAAATCGTGGAACGTCACCTGTCACCAGCTCCCGGTCTAATAGCAGAAATTGTGTCATAGCATTAATACTGTTACGAGCTACGAGTGACAATAAAAACTGCTGATTGAATTACCAAAATTTACACTTATTAAAAGAATATAATTAATCACACTGATTCACTTTATTTCGCTCCGAAGCTTCGCTTGTCTCGCCAAATTCAATACTGCCCCGATCGCGGCTATCAACGGCTTTATATAGGGCTCTTCCACCGAAACATCCAGAATATTCCAGCAAATACGGGCGCCGAACGACCAGATACAGAAAGTTCGAGTGTGGGGCCTTCTAGAAAGCTTAGTTCTTCTGTTCGATACTAAATGGCGCTGTTGGTAAAAAGTTCAGGAATGGCATTTTCTAGAAAGCCCTCCTCGCTCTGTTCCACGACACTAGATGGCGCTAGTGCCAGGTTTCAAACGTTAACTTAGGCGCACAACAATACATTTCAAATTTATTCTTAATTCTTCTACTTTACTTTTAGGTTTTAACGGACTTTCTTGATATGAACAGTCTTTTTATTTTACATCCTCCATCTTACATATATAGATGTTTACTGTCACGTTATTCTAGTGAAGTCCACTGCTTAATTACCCCAAAAAATGACGCCTAATTATCATACTGTCCATCCTACATTTCGATAACCGCTACGAGGTTGCCTTTCGAAAACTTACCTTCCACATCGGTTGTCGGTTCTTATACATCCCAAATAATTGTCTAGAGGTTGACATAAGTTACACGCAAATCCTGCTTCCCGAGCTACCCCTGTCACCCCCGTTTGCTTAACAATGCCTTAAATGTTACAAATCCAATATCTACGTCCCATTACTTAACCAGAACAAAAAGGAGAAAGGACATCATCTTTTTTAGTCCAAATATGAAAGTGCCGGTCAATAAAAAAATATGCTGTATTCCGTTAGAACTTGTCCCCCTGAGTATTTATTATTATGACACCAAAGCTGTCACTATTTTTGAACTCCAATAAAACAAGGGTCATTGTCCTTGGTTTTATTGGAGTTCAAAAATTTCAACATCTTCATACATTTTCAGTGAATTTAATAAACAAAAACAAATGATTTGTTCCACCATATTTTTATTTTGAACATCGTTTAGTAAAAAATATATTGGTTCTTGACCTATTTCTGACAAGATAACATTTAAACCACTAATATTACTGCGTAATCGGCTGGGATGCCGGGACTTTTTCCTAGAAAATGGCAATAACAATGGCCGCGCAGGTAAACACTCACGCGAACAATGGAATACGGTGCAGCGAGCAGATGCCCCTCTCATTCCCGCGAACTACCGCCATCGCGCCAGGCTCATTCGTTTGCTATCATTCGCGTTTATTGTTTAGTACCGAAAGCAACGCTGCCGTGTATGTCTGTGTGATGCCCACTAGTTCTTGTGCTTTGATTTGTTTTGTTTTTGTTATCTCCGTTGTTAAGTTTGAACATTGCTGCGAGTCATGGCAGAGTTGTGTATCGCGTGCCGTGCATCGACAGAGAATCGGTGAAGATATGATTGGGTTTCCAGAGAAATGCAATATCTTGATATCGCCCAAATAGTGATAGAAGATATAGTAGCTCGACAGTTGGAGCCTACTGCGTTCATTTGTCGATCCTGTTGTCAAAGAACGGAACGAACGCACCAGCAACTTATTCGGCAGGCTGAACAGCAAGCTGATCAAGACCGTGATCCATCGGAAGTTCCAAATTGAAGACCAATTTCGCTGATTTTGCCAGGTTTTCTTCGTGCTCCAAACACCGCAAATAGTTGCATTTTCCTACATTGTACGAATGAATCTCGCCGTCGTGTTCCAGAGAACATAATTTTTCGCATGGTATGCCGCTACAGCTATTTCGTGCCAGAAAGCGCACGTGTCTGTAATGAACACGTGGAGCAAAATCTGTGGCATTTACTTCCTGTACATGACAACTCTTCTGAGGAATTCACTGCAGCTCAAATAATGACTATCGTGTCGATGTTACAAAGACATATTACGGAGGAAATACTTGATTTTGAGCAGTATGAAAATATAGCACCAGCCGAGTTTCATACTTGGACAGGACTGACTCAAGATCAGTTTACTGAATTATTAGACAGTTTACCAAGTCTGAGAACTAAAAAGAATAAAAGAACCGTACTGGCGGCAGTATTAGTCAAGTTAAGAACAGGTGACTCGAACGCGCGGCTTGCTAATATTTTTAAATGTAGCGAAACAGCGTTTCATACGTGGTTAAAAATCGGACGCATCGCTCTGTTAGAAGATTTTGTGCCCTTAAACGTTGGGTTTGACCATATTTCCCGTGACGATGTAGCACACAGGAATCTTTTTCTACCCAACAATCTGTTTGGGAACCCATCGAGCCCAGAAGATGAAAGGAAAGCTATCACGATTTGTGATGGCACGTACATCTATCTGCAAAAAAGTGGAAATTATTTTTTCCAACGCAAGTCTTACAGCCATCACAAATACAGAAACCTCCTAAAACCGTTCCTCTTGGTTTCTTGTGATGGACACATTATCGAAGTTAACGGACCATATGCTGCCACCACGTCTGACGCAGATATAATGAATGGTATGCTTAATAATGCTGACAGTGCCTTCCACTGGTTTTATAGGAGTGGCGATGTTTTTATTCTGGACCGTGGTTTTCGAGACTCAGCAAGAAATCTGGAATCTTGCGGATACGTACAACATATGCCTCAACCAAAGTATCCAAATGAGACACAGCTAACCACGGATCAGGCCAATAAGTCCAGACTGGTAACAATCTGTCGTTGGGTGGTTGAAGTGGTCAACGGCAGGTTCAAAAGAGATTTTCGCCTGTTGCGAAATGTATATAATAACAGAGCTCTTCCCAGCATGTTCGACTATTTCAAGATAGCAGCGGCGATGATAAATCGTTTTCATGTTTTGATTGAAGATAATCCAAATGCTGCTGCGATTTTAGAGATTATCCACCAAAGAATTAATATGCAAAATAGATTGGCAGATCTTGTAATACGCCATAACTACAATCGCAGACGTGTTCAGTTTACTTTAATGACTGCAGATATGCCAGAGTTTGTAGATTTTCCAAGAATGGATGAGAACGAATTATTATTATTCGCACTGGGCGTTTATCAACTAAAACATGCCAAAAGCTATTACGGTGAGCACGTCCTTGACAATGGAGCATTCACAATTGAGCTCAGCAATGAGTTATCAAATGAAGACTTGGCGGAATTGCAGGGCAATGATTTATGGATGATAAGAGGCCGACTGCAATCGCGGCAGAGAGAGACAGTATTATGTCTATATTATAATCGATAGGTCGTTATTAGGCCGACAAGCAATCGCTCACTATTATTGTTCGTGCATCATAGGAAAGCGAATAATTGGATGCTGCTCCCATATTATGTGCATTATATGGTACATGAGCCATGCACGACATTTGCCAGCAATAACCCCTCCAGCTTATGGATTGGAGAACATTATTGTTGTACCAGACGATGATGATTTTATAGTGTTTAATTAAACAAAATAACCCCTGTATACATATTTTACTTATAATCCTCAAAAACACAAAACAAGATCAACATGTCCAAAATAGGTCAAGAACCAATATATTTTAGTAAACGATGTTCAAAATAAAAATATGGTAGAACAAATAATTTCTTTTTGTTTATTAAATTCACTGAAAATGTATGAAGATGTTGAATTTTTGAACTCCAATAAAACCAAGGACAATGACCCTACAGCTTTGGTGTCATAATAATAAATACTCAGGGGGACAAGTTCTAACGGAATACAGCATATTTTTTTTATTGGCCGGCACTTTCATATTTGGACCAAAAATGTGTGAAATCCCGATGTTGTCATTTGCACGTTGAGAGAGTTCGATCTTTTGCAATATCGTTTTAAAAACACCACCACACGTAGATAAGTCGTACGTTATAATAGAATATATGACATAAAGCTAAGTAAACTGGTTTAATATATATATATATATATATATATATATTATATATATATATATATATATCTGGATCCAAAACGTGTCTAATGGTTATAATCATATATATTAATTTATGAATTTTTCTGCTAACTGTGTCGATATGTTGTTTAAAATTTAAATTACTATCTATGATAACCCATGAAAGGTACGAACAGCTATTTTCCTTTGTTGAACAATTATTATAAAGTTCGTATATTGTAATGTTCTCACATAGAGGGTAAGACGAAAAACATTCACTCGGTAGTCCGAGCATTACACGAAGCATATACGTTAGCAAATTACTTGTATTTTATTCTAAATAATATCACAAATACAACAATAAACAATCACTACGTTAAAATTTTCAAGGTTGCGAATGAATAAAAAAGCTATATATTTTGTTTTCTTAATATTTCATCATTACAGCCCTTCACAAGTCCACTGCTGAACATAGGCCTCCCCAAAGCAACGCCACAAAGCACGGTCCTGAGCCACCTGCATCCATCGACTTCCTGCATGTCTTACCAGGTCGTCACTCCATCTAGTGGGGGGTCGCCCTACACATACGCCTACCGGTACGAGGCTGCCACTCGAGAACCTTTTTTCCCCAACGGTTGTCGGTTTTTCGAGCTATATGGCCGGCCTATTGCCACTTCAGCTTACTAATCCGTTTAGCTATGTCGGTCACTCTGGCTCTATTGCGTATATCCTCATTTCTAAGTCTATCACGTAGAGAAACTCCGAGCATAGCCCTAGCCACTCGAGAACCTTTCTTAATATTTAATGAGAGTTTATTACTGTAAAGCCAATTAGTAATTGCAGTACCCGGTTGACCGAGCTTTGCTCGGTATTTTTGGCTCAGTTTTTTTTATTCGTGTGTTTTGGAAATTTTATTTAGATACAAATTACATGCTGATGAAATACGAATAATATTTTTTGATCTTAGCGACATAATAGAAAAAACTGAACTGGTTATTCGAATAAAAAATCATGAGTGCAAATAGTTTAATTTAATTTTTCTTAATTTTAAAAAATACTAAAAAAGGGCTCGAAAAAATAGATTTTCTCAAAAAAGAAAGAAACTAGAAAAAAAAATTAAAAAAGTCGGTCGGTCGGTCTGGGCTCGAACCAAAAATATTGGGCGGTCACAAAATATTACGATTTTGTGACCGCCCAATATACCAATTAAGCTATTTGTAATCATTAATGAACTGTCAAAATTTACCTTCTTATTCTAACGATATTGTAGCAGTTTTTCATTGCCTAAAAACACGGACAAAAAGACATTTTCTAAAAATAAATCCTAGCTAGATCGATTTATTGCCCCCGAAACTCCCTGCACACAAAATTTTATGAAAATCGTTTGAGCCGTTTCCGAGATTCCGATTATATATATATATATATATATATATACAAGAATTGCTCGTTTAAAGGTATAGGATTTATACCTGTCTGTGCAAACGAGAATACATTCGTCTACAAATCCGCAGCAAATATCAATGTGTCATCTGTATCAATATGTCAAAGTGTCATCTGAGATCAAATTTTGTTAAATAATCTATATAAATAAGATACAAGGTTGGCCAGAGTATACTCCCTTGGAGCACGCCATGTGTTACTAATAAATCATAGCTGTTAATATTATTGACACCAACGCATTGACACCTCTCAGAGAGGCAACTTTTGAATAAGGCTATCTACTCAGCCTCTGATACCAATGTTTTCTAGTGATTTTAATGGTATTTTTATTGACACGGTATCGAATACTTTAACCAAATCTAAGAAAACTGAAATGCACTTTTTTCACTGTCAAAACAACAAAATTTGTGAGAGTATGAATGGCGTACTCTGCTGATTTGCCATGTCTTAAACCGAACTGTATACTTGACAATAAATTATTTTATAGCTTGTAACTCTATTATTCAATATTATGACTTTAAGATTGTTATTGTAGCGGCGCTGTCACCGCACCACGAACGTAAATGAATCGAATAATAAAACACTTTATATAACTTTCCGAACGATTTTGAATACAAAAAAAACAGGCTCCAAGCTACATACTGATGACTGCATTGGCTAGTTGAACGTCTTGCCCGGTGGAAGATCTCCAATATTCTTTTGACAGTAAAATCATTAAAAATATTATGAACTAGTCCACCTACAAAAAGTGTTGGCTATAATTATAATATGTTAAGTCTGTCCAACTGTCCATTGTCTTGTTTTTGTTTTATTTTTTATTTTACAATTCATGTAAAGTTTAATTTAAAAAGTTTAGAAAACACCTATATGCTAACATTTGTAGTCAAATTATTCAATCATATCGACTTTTCATGTAGATTAATTATTTACACACACACACACGGTACAAGTCATTTATTCTTTTAATTATACATTTTGTTAACCTGTACTTGACTACACGACATTGCTTTTGTGAAGAGCGTTGACATTTATGATGCACAGGCTCTCCCTAGTTTAGAAATCACAGAGTTTAAAAAAAGTTTGATGTATTATTAGTAAGTACATGTGTGTTGAGATATAATTTATGTAATTTAATTTTTAATTTTTATGCAAATTTTAAGGACAACCACGCCGCAATCGGCGCGACCATCGCAATATCAGTTGTAATAACGATTGCAACAATTATCAAAACACTCCCGCAAAACACTTATTACGTACCACATGTCTCGCATTCCTCAATTATTTGAGTTATCAATTCATTCATAGATTTGCAGGTCATTGGTTAGACTAGCTATACTAAAACTGCAGCGCGGGTCGCATGCGGCCCGAGCCGAGTGAGCCGAGCGCTATCAGCGATTTTTGCGTGAATCGGATCGCAACCTATTATTAGTGATCTGTGGTTGCAAGAGCGAGACGGAACGCGCGGCGGTATCCACGAACCCATAGATTTCTGTATATACACGAACCTGTGCGTGTCACTTTGTTTGCCGGTCGTAACTTGTTTTGAATTTGTTTACATACCTAGTTATAAAGTCTGATGAAAACCCGTTGGTCTCAAATTGCTCTGAGTAAGCTTTTGGTATTAGAATACTCGTAAACACGATACTTTCAAGTACCCATAATTTTACAATAACGTGTTGTTTTTAATATTAGATTACTGAAAACTTGTTATGAAGTATAACGTTACAGAAGAATCTGCCTCCATTGTATAATTGTAATTGCTGGTCAAACAAAGGCGTCATTCTTTCAGTCAACGGACATTGTTTTGACCATGCTATATAAGCCGTTGCATTTAGAATAAAATGCAGCCGGCGCCTCCCTTTCTATCAAGGGGGGTCGCGTTCGATATCATTAAGCCAATCTTAAAAGGTGGTGTTTAGTGGGTAAAAGTCTCCACATAACCACGCGGCCTGCTGCGGTGTATGCTATGAGCATTCACCACCTCCCTCCCCCGTTTACCGGAGGGTAGCCCTTATTTGCTTCGGGTGCAAAAAAATAAAAAAATAAAATGCATTATAGAACTGATCGTAGTCACGTAATCACTTAGTTAGGTAAGTCAGTATTGCACTGAATCAGTTTTAATACATAATTGTAATGTAATAGTTATTAAATGTCATCGAGACATATTTTGTAGTTTTTAAAAAAGCTTCAGTACCGCTCCCGAAACTTAACTGCCTACGCTACGGTGGAATGGTATAAGGTGGTAACAGATAGATAAATAGAGTGAGCCGTGTAGTGGCGGTTGAAAATATCCACTACCCCATATCTTCCCGTGGGTGTCGTAAGAGGCGACAGTGGGAGACAGGCAGGAGATGGGCAGCAGCATCTTCTAACGGCGGGGCAGGGGGTGCTAAGAATCCGGTGGAGGTTCGGTTGCCACCTAAGACGACTCAACCTGGCAACATTATAACGCATGCACCCTGAGGTTGACGAGAAGATACTGGAGCTGGAAGAAGAGGTAGACAAGTTGCGCTGGCATATTATTGGATTATCCGAGGTCCGAAGAGAAGGGGAGGACGCGGTAATCCTCGAGTCTGGAAACTTGTTCTATCACCGGGAGGGCGACCATCTGTCCCAAGGAGGTGTCGGATATATCGTCCACAAGTCTCTCGTCAACAACGTTGTAAAGATTGGGAGTGTGTCGACGAGGGTCGCGTACCTGATACTCAGAATCACCAAACGGTATTCGCTGAAGGTCATACAGGTTTACGCACTAACCTCGGCACATCCCAAGGAGGAGGTGGAGGAAATGTATGAGGATATTTCCAGAGCCATGCATTCCTCCAAAACTCACTACAAAGCGGTGAGCTGAAATTAGGGAAATTTGGAGTAGGGCAACGGAACCGTAGGGGTCAGCAGCTGGCCGACTTTATGGAGA